ATCTTGATAATGCGATTCACGTGTGAGACAACGATTTGTCGCCTAGTGAACATGTCGTTGACGTGAATTTATTAATTTAGGGCGATAAAGCTCTTAAAATTATCTACCTCTAAATCGAAACTAATTACGAATTCTGGACATGCCTGAATAAAATTAAATAAATTAACGAAAATCTTTCTCGTATTAAAATTTTATCTTACAAAGAAAATTAGTTTGGTGTACATAAAAGTGAGGGGTAATTTCATGCAAGCTGTTTTATTCCTGGAATATAATCAAAGTGGCTATTAAATTTAATCGGATAAAACAATTATTTTTAAAGAAACATGCCGTTGACTACAATTATCGAAGACCTCGAGTTGCAACAACCTCACACTCGTTTGTCGTAAATTCACCCATCCAATTAGACAGCGTTCGCGGCTAGATTGATATTTGAAAAAATTAATTAGATGTCATTTCTGGAGAAACCGAGATCAATAAATGCCTACACAAAAGCAGAAGTAAGTTTTGTCAGTGTACATGTTCTGAGTATCGGTGTATCTGGCGTCTGGATGCTCGCAAGCAAATTGACCACTCAAGTTGGCACTTAAAAGCGCTAAATATCCCTGTTTGGAATTACCACCGTGCACGAAGGGCTTAGAACATCTTAAAGGCAACATTAAAGTAATTTACTATAAGATAAAGCATTTCGGGTAACAATAAATTCTCGAGATGTAAGCAAATGCCGAAAAACAGAAGCAATTTGTCGTGATCACAGCTCCCTTAGAGAATGAGGCCGCACAATAGGATTATCCTGATAAGTAGCTCTTTTCAGCAAAACGTACAAGACTAATTTCGTTTTTAATTTAATTCTACTGCATGTGGAAAGCAAAAATGGATCTAAAAAATTTACTTCGCCGTTTGAAGCGCACCGAATACGTACACGTGGGGACGTCTTTTTTTGTAAACATTTCCTCTACGGACACAGTTTAGTGTCATTTTCCTACATCTTTAATTTTTATACAACTTCAATTTGAACATTTATTTTACGGCGCCGGTCAAAGCGAAGCATGACCACTTTATTTTGATTTTTACCAATTTCATATGTGCCGTCGTGTTTATTTCAAATGTGTTTCAGGCACTCTATCAGAAATATGAGATTGGCATTTTTGTATAGTTTACGGTGTGAAACGTCTCGAAAACCGGAAATTAGCCATTCGTCAAAATCGAAAGTGGTTAGAAAAGATAAGCAACTAATATGTCACGAAGTAGCTCTCGGACGGTAAAGAATGGCCATAAATTTATTCTGTACTAATTAAGCAGTCCAAAGCGTGGCTTTTAGCTTTGTACTTGGTCTAGTGACTTCACCTCTGTCACGCCTATAGGACATACAAGAATTCGGAATCGTTCGAAGATAAAGCAGTAATTTGTAAGTCGTTCTATTTCTGGTTCGTTTATTTACGACAGTGCCCACCCATCTGACACAGTTTCGAAAATTTGACACTTGACTTTTTGTTTGTCGTAATGACGAGTGGAGAAATGTGGCAAGTCGTAGCTTTGGACGTTTAGATTTATTTGCATTCTTGTCACCGTGTCTTACTTCTGTTCCCGCAGTACAATCTGTGGAAATCTTTCCGGCAAATATATTACGTGGGGTTGCAGTGGAATATTTATTTTTAAGCGAGCAACTTTAGAATTTTAAATGATTACCGAATGCCAACCGCAAGATTAATACACGTTATTAGAGAGACCAATGAACATGTTTGCTTTCGTAAAAAACTACCTAATTCATATGTCTTAAGAGATTACACTTAACAAATTGCCTTTGTTTTGGAGCAGAGCTCGTACATTACTTATCTTTCACGTTCACATGTTGCGACGTTATCGCACAATTATAGTAATGTTTGTGATAATTTTAGTGACGGTCGTGCGATGCCTCAAGAAAACAAAGACGAGTTGCAGAAAAATGGCAGTGACGTCACATTCACTACAACTGTAAATCGTATTGACAGATTCCGGAGATTCCTCCGCACAATATTGCCGCAGTGCCCATTGGAGCGGCTAAAGTGGAGAATTTCGTTGATCACCAATTTACCTCACAGATAGTAGTTAAGCCAGCCACTATAAATTCAGGATTCCAATAAAAGACTTACTACTCACATTAATTAAAAGAAATGTGCTGCTGACACATAGATGCCGAGTGCTAAGGAAACGCATTTCACCCTGTTTTATCTTTATTTATTGACCGACTTCCGAGCAAAAAACACATCTTTAAAAAGGGTGTTAAATTTATTATTCTAAACGACGAATACATTGCGTTGCGATGGATTATGCAGATTACAAGCTTAAAAACGCTTCTGTCCCGGTGGTTTTTTGTTATATTTATCTAAATTATATAAAATATTGTACTTGTGGTTTATAAACCTGTCTTGAGTTTTTTTTCGCAAAGAACATCAAAATTGTCTAAAATTTTATTATACTATGTAATATACTTAAGAGGAATGTTGAGCAATAACCTCAAGAGGTTCAAACGCGTGCTAATAACACGAACGTCGCGGATTCGATACCCTCATGAACCACTTTTTTACTTTTGCGAACATAAACTAAGGAAGTATTGTAATAGGGTCTTTCCGATAAATGAATACTTTCATGTTTTCTGGACGTTTAATGACGCAGACATGCCCGATCGGTCTAAGACAAAAGATCAGGTTAAAGCAAGTCACGTCAGGTCAGGTCAGGTCGGGTCAGGTCAGGTCAGGTCAGGCCAGGCCAGATCAGGTCAGGACAGGTCAAATGCAAAATGATGGAAAGTTGACAGGAGAGATGGCAAATTGCAATGGTTGGGGCCTGGACAAGGAGGTTGATCCCTAAGGTGCAAGACTGGATTGAGAGAGGAGAAGGAGGAATAGACCACAATTTTTAACGGGTCACGGCTACTTCGGGACATACTTAAGAAGAATAGGGAAAGTCCAAGAGGATACATGCAAGTACTGTGGAGGAATAGACGCGCCGGAGCATTTGTTGGGCTGTGTGAGATGGGAGAAGGAAATCGGTATGCTACTACAAGAGGATCTTACGGTAGATAATTTTAATAAGGTCATCAAAGAAGGGAGGTGGGTAGACATTAAGAAAATGATCCCCTAGGAGCGAAAAAAAAAAGGTCAGGACAGGTCAGGTCAGTGCTGTATTTCAGAGACCTAGATGAGCTAACCATTAAGGCGGAAATAGAAGGTGCACTACGTACCTGCGTAACAGAGGAGGATTGAATGAAATTAAAATAACGTCGATTAGAGAGACATTTGGAAATACAAAGGTGCCAACCATACTGGTCCCAAAACACCTAATGCAAAATTACCAATAAAAAAACGATCAAGGTTGGTCTAGTATCCTGTAGGATCAGGGAAAAGATAGAAGCCAGTGCACAAAATGCTGGCAAACTGGATCCAAGAAATGGGAGTGTAAAGGTCCAGATAGGATATCAGATGTGAGACGGAGGCCACAGAGCAAAAGAGTGTGAAGAAGAAATTCTAAAGGAAATGGAAACTCTGGAAAATCTAGGAAAAGAACGAACTAGAAAACGGACTTCCAGGAGTCCACCTGGAAGAGACGTCCGAAACCGAGAAGATTATTATTATACAAGACAAACTTTAAACAATCAAGAACGGCTTGAGACCTAGCAAAGAAAAGAGCTAGAGAGATACAATATCCTACATAGACGTGATAGCGGCCACCGCCGGGATAGCTAGGAGGGTGACGCGATAGGAAGTCTATGACGACCAGGAAAACCTAAAGACCATAATGAAATCGAGATAGAAATAAGAAAAGAGCGACAACATAACATGAGGAAAGAACAAGGAACAAAGTGGAGGGCACCGAAAAGAAGAGAAGAAGAATTCAAAAAAGGGATAAGTATTTTGATAGACCAGAAAAAGCCAAAAGATGCAGAGAAGTTAATGAAGGTTATCACAACGACCTGCGGGAAAGTACTTACTAAGACGAAGACGGAGGAAAAAATAGGCGGTTTGTATTGGTGGACAGAAGTAGCAGAGTTGAGAAGAAAATCTATAAAAAAAACGAAGGAAAAGGCAGCGAATAAACGCAACAGCTGGAACAAAATAGGACGAGAAGGAAAAAATGGAAGCTGAATACAACGAAGCCAAGGGAACATTTAGGAAAATAATAACACAATCAAAAGAGAAGAAATAGAAAGAGGTATGCAGAGAAGTGGACGCTGAGCCTTGGGGAAAAGAGTATCAGATAGTAAGTAGAAAAACTGGGGCGAATGCGAGAGCGACACTGGAGAGTGAAAAAGTGGGAGAACAGAACAATAGCAAACGATAGAGAAAAAAACGATGTGACGGAAGAATAGATTGTTGCAGTGGCAAGTCGCATAAAGGTAGGCAGGCCACCAGGACCCGATGGAATACCACCTGAGGCGATAAAATGGATGACAGAGAAGAGACCAAGAGAAGTAGCAAAGGTATCAGGAAGGAACATTTCCAGCACAATTAAAGAAGGAACAAGAAAGATCGCTGGATATAGACCCCTGTGTATGTTGGACACAATGGGGAAGCTATATGAACAGAGGTCATAGTCGCAAGGTTTAGAAAGGAAATGGAGGAAAAGCAAGCCATCAGTGACAACCACTACGGAAGGAGCATACCGACACAAGAACCTATGCCTACTGGTCTCCCTGGATGTCAAAAATGCCTTTAATAGCGCCAGGTGGAATGACATCATGAGAGAAATTCAAAGAAGACAAATAACGACAGAATTGACGAGTGTGGTTCAAAGCTACCCCTCAGATAGATAGCTAAGTGTCCATGGCCAATGGATGGAAACAACAGCAGGAGTACCACAAGGGTCCGTTTTAGGGCCAATACTATGGAAGATTCTATAAGATGACGTGCTGAAATTGGATATTCCGGAAGGGGTGACAATAATAGGATACGCAGATGACTTGGTGCTGATGGTGGTAACGAAATACAGGACCCACATAGAGAATGAGGAGACTACAGAGAAAGATGGCCTTGGGGATTTCTGCCGGATATCAGACCACATCCACTAACGCGCTGCTAGTGGTAGCGGGGATGCCCCCGATCGAACTGATAGTAGAAGAGATGGTAAGAAGAGCCAAGAAGGAGAAAAGATCGGTGGAGGAAGAGAGACATGACACAGTGAAGAGGTGGCAGAGGCTATGGAGTCAAATCAATAAAGGGAAATGGACGGGGAAACTGAAACCAGAGGCGACACCATGGTACTACAGAGACAATGGACAGAAAAACCACTTCTTGACACAACTAACTACAGGCCCTGGGGATTTCAACCAGTATCTCCACAGAATAGGGAAAATTCCCAACGCAATGGTCAGTGTGGAAGCGAAATAGAGACGGCAGAGGATCTATTTCTAAAATCTGAAAGATGGCGTAGCAAAAGGGAAAGTATGAGACAAAAAATAGGCTCAGATATTAACACCGATGAAATAGGAGGACATATGATTTGGACAGGGACGCAATGGGACGCGGTGAGTGAGTTTACGACAAGGGTTCTAAAGAGGAAAATGAATGAAGCAAAGGCCACAAATACACGAAACATGGGAAAAATGCGGCACGGGCGATCAACCACCCCCTCGAAAAAATGCCAACGCGATTCCGGGGGAGTGAAAGAACAGCTGATCGGGAAGGGGTTTTGGTTGGTACAAGTTCGACACTACCAGGGGCGCTCGAGCCTAAGTTCCTGGTGCCCATGAGGGTTTCTAGTTTCGAAGAAAAAAAAAGGTCCGATCAAGTCAGGCCAGGTCAGGCCGGTCAGGTCAGGTCAGGTCAGATCAGGTCAAATCAGAGGAGCAGAAAAAACAAGAATTAGAAATAGATCTTAAAACAAAAATCAGCGTAGGAATCCTGGTGGAATTAATGCTCTCGAAAGCCGAAAGTTTGAAAAGGATTAAAAGATATATGAGGAACATAATGAAGATAAACGAGAAAGATGATGGAAAGGGAATTTGAATATAGACGATCGAGGAAGAAAGGGGAGGGCTTTTAGTGATGTAAGAATCCTACATTTCCCCGCAGAATCGATACCTTCCCGCGGGAAGCCTTTTAAAAGTTCCTTCCCCCCCCCCCAAAAAAGGTCAGGTTAGGTCAGGGCAGGTTACATCCTTGCGCTTTATCAATGCACTCATATTTTGCAGCAATTTTTAATCGATCGAGTTTCCGCTTGTTATGGTCGATGGAGAAGTGGCAAAATTTTGAGATGATGTCGTCAAATTTTTGGGGATAATCAAATGACTGCACGATATTTTTAAAATACATATGTATCGCTAACAGGCACACGGAAACGGGAAACCTATTTCTTTATATTCTAGGAGCTATGAAAACCATGTCCAATACGTGCATCTCTATTTGTACCAAAGAAATAAAAAGAAAGTCGTATATTTTTGGACTGAAGCTAAACTCAGTGTGTAAATGTTTGCGAATCCACCCAGTACAAGTTTAGCCGTAACATTTTGAAAACTGACTGACACTAAGAAGATTCCAGCTGCAGGGGAAATTAACAGTATTTCTCAGAGACAATAATTAATGAACAGTTTTGTAAAGCTGCGACAATTGCCTGATAACGCCTCCGTTATCACACAATTAATGAGAAAAGAGATTGAGTTTCTGTGGCGAAGCTTGTCTACGTCGGCTCTGACACGCGCTGTTCATTTGTTGTTGTTTCCTATTGTATCCCGTTACAACTCTTTATACCCAGACTCGAAAATAATTACAATAAATGGCTTATAGACAGAACATACATGCATATAATAATAGTAAAGTAATTGATTTATATTACAAAGGATGTCGCTACGTTCTAACAACTACTCACGTACATTGTCGGCGTTAACATTTTAACGCCAATGTCGTCCACAATGGACATGTTTATATTATTTTAACGTATCAAGATACGGTGTAGAAAAACCGTAAGAACTACTTTCAAAGATGGCAAATTTAATTATATTTAATTTTGGACCCTTTTTTACTAGTTTTTTAATGGGAAAAATTAAACCATTAGTTAGCGTTACAGTGTGCACATGATCGCATGTTTATGATTGGGTTGCTATACACGTTTCTAATTTTAGATTCTATTTGTTTTACTTTTTTCATGTAGTTGATTTTTTTGTGAATGTCGAATTTTTAATGAGTCTTTTGGACCGTAAATCACGTAAACTTTTATCGATATAAGTTTATATGCGATAAAGTAATTCATGCATGAAAAATGCACCATAAACGTCTGGAATTTTGCATGCCAATTTAAATTAAAAAAGTACATTCATTTCGGATAAGTCAATGTAGAATTGATAAGGGTTTATCTGCGCAAAAAACTAGCAGCTTGCTTACATATTCATGTATGCAATTGACTGTGTGGTTACAAAAGCGCCAATTTTAATAATAATAATAGAAGCGAAAGCAGCAAAGAACAGGTTGGGTTTAATTTCTATTAATGGCAGTTAAGATAAGCTTCTTAAATCGCAATCATTTTAAGTCACGCTAATAAATATGAATGACAATAAGGTGGAGTAATAAGCATGTAGGTATTTATTGTCGCACCCCAAAAGCCGCGCAGTTCGACCGCAACCGTTGCCGCTAGACCCAGATGCAGGCAGCAAGACATGGGGTTGCGTTGTTAAGAGATGTGACCAAATTTAATTCCGCCCTCGTCTGTCAAAGCACTCTAGTGTAAACAAATTTCATTGAAATACTTTCAATTTTTAAATTAAGGGGTAACGCTACTGCGATTTTTGAATGTGACGTTCAGGAAACGTCAAGCGCTGAGTATTATTGAGACTGTCACGACATCTGCCAGGAAATCCGTCAGCCAGAGTTTGATGCAGTGTAATTAATGCTTTAATTTTGATTCAAAGACATCAACTGTCACGAGTTCCAAATCCATCTATCACAGCGGAATACCCGTTCGAAGCTTAAAACCACCCAACCGCGAACTTTCGTAATCCGTATCGACAAAAAGCTCGTGGTAATTGCATGCGTTAGACTATGTTTAAACATACCCGACAACGTGGAAACACGTGTACTGTGTGAATTACTCTACGATAAAATAAAATATAGCCGTTATTAATTCCAACAAACGTGAATTCTATTCTACGAATCACGGATCAAACAAGACGAAATTAAAAACAAACCTTTCCATGAAATCGGTGCGCTGCGTGTTTTAAATTTCAATTCTATTATTATCCACCTCACTTTCAGGGAATATTACAAAGCCGACTGTAAATTTATGTGCACTATTTGTGTGAATCAAAACCTAAATGGATAAAGTTAGACAAATGTGTATTATACAATACATTTCACTTTACCCTCCAATTTCGTGTTCACACCCTGACGTTTCAAATTTATAATCGGTTCAATGACGTACGCATATGACGGTTTTAATTTTTTTGAATTATTTCTACACATTTCCTCCACATCAACGTCCTTTTTAAGTTCATATACTTGCATAAATATTACGTACGATTTTTTAAATTTGTTCAAATTCAAGTCGTTCATGACACCAATTTTCGACGTGTTCACTTTTTTAGATCAAATATTACTAAAAATTCGCTTCGTTCGTACTTAATTTTTTCACTTGAGTGTAATAAGCTTTTTTTCGTCATTAAGTAAACCTAATCTTAAATTTTAAAAGTGACAAAAGTGGTTCTGTCAAATGTTTTTACTGTCTATAAGGTTAGGTAAGTGACCTCATATAGTTTTTGTTTTTTTACCTCCCGAGCGTAAGCTAGAGTATGAAAAAGTAAGTCTTCCGTTTCCGTCTGTCTGACATCTAGCGTCTGTCGTCTCTTTGTAGTTTATTGGCGATGTTTATGTTTGGTCTGGCGTGGAGTGTCAGTTCGTAGCTCTCCACCGATCTTTCTGACGAAGATGAAATGTATTAGGTGACCAATTCCTCCAAGAAATATCCGCATATAGACAGTATATATTAAATATAAAGATTTATATCAAAGGTTACTTAACCGTCTACCAGCATAATGTCGAAGTTTCTTGTTATTCTAATTGCTGTGTTAGTGCATGTTCGGAACTAACAACCTTGCTCTACTTGCAGGAATAATTTGTCACTTGGAGTAGCCTTGTTTGTCATTTGTTTAGTGTATGAAAGGGATTTTATGATTTTGTCGCTCATATTTTGAAGGAACCTCCAGCAGATAAAGCTGTAAAATTGATTTTAGTATTTTTCTGTTGAATAATTTACATTCGAAGAATTTAATTCGAATTTTATGTCACAATAATATTCTTGGCTCACTTTCCGGATTATTTTTACGATGTGTTATAAGAAATTAGATACTCATAAACACACTTGGATTTATCCACGCGGAATGAATTAAACCAGCAATAATTTCTTATTTTACAATTTTCCACATTCGCGCACTTTGCAAAATCAATTTTCATTACTCATCGTTCGAAAGCAATAAAAAGATAAATAAGAAGTCTGCAATTCCACGCGATGAAGACCGTCTGATAATGATAACTCGTTTAAATCATTTCTGTCGGAATGTAGAATATTCGTATAAAATATGAATATACTTACTACCACAGTTTTCAAAGGTAAGCGTCGTAGCTTGCTTATCTAAAAGCATTTTAAGTAAAATACATCAGTAAACGCGTCTTCGTTGTCGCGGCAACATAAAAGATGGCTTTTAGACCTAGAGTAGGTTGTACTTTTGTCAACGAAGAATAGTGTCCACTAATAGTAGATTTTTTCGCATTAATATAGCACTTTAGCTTATGACCAATTACTGGTTTCGAGTTAAGTATCTTATCTTCGCAGTTACGCTTTGAATATGAGTGCATTAAGTGCTAATACAAGATATTTATAAGAGGCAATAATATGAATGCTTTTAAGAAAACAAAAAACAATATGTTGAAAATCATCTGAGACGCCTCTTTCGCATAGCTAATGGCACCAGGTGCTAAGTTGATGGTTGGTCAATAGCTTTATGCCGTCCCGCATAGTGTAAAACAAATCTAGCGTTGCTTAATAAAACTATATATAAAATTATGTATTAAATCGACTGACCGTGCAAAGAGCAATCCTTGCTGAACCTTCGCTCGCTAAACAATAGCTCTGCATCGGTGCGGTTCATTTGAAATGTTATTAGGCACTCTTCCGGGTCTTCGTTTATAACCAGCATGATAATATCTCCGAACGTCCCTTCGTCATCTTTATGGACACTAACGTGAATGATCCTATTATTTGCACACCTTTTATTATGCCAATGCCATTAGGTGATTTTAAATAAAACCCACTCCCAGAACCTTAACCGAATAGGCAGTGAATGGCTGATTAAGCCCTGTACATCGTCCCCTAAAATTCAGCCCTACATTTTTATAGTTTGCCG